GAAACCGTATAAATTGTTAAGGCATTCCTCAATTTACACCAACCACGATTGTTATCGCACAACGTCCGTCCATCGTGCGCACATATGTGCGCAAGCAATGATCGTTCAGCTTTTTATCGTTCGCCCATCGTGCACACACCGTTCACACACCGTGCACACATCGTGCGCACACCGCACATCGTGTAACGTTGTGCGATCCCACAACTGTACATGTATATAAAAAAGCGAAATATATATAAGCTTAGAACACTCTTATTCATATACATGTGAAGTAGTCCCCAATCTCATTTTGGTCCTTTTTGTATTTAATTACATCTGTCACTGAAATAAGATCCCTACCCACCTGTTCACCTTGTTCCCTTGGCCCAATGAGGCTCTATATTAAATCATGTACGAAAGCAGTCTACATATCCTCTATATAATGTTGAGCCCCTTGTCCGATAATCCTTTATACCAAATAAGCTTCGCTTATACCAAGTAATCATACTGCACCCAATAAGCGCCACCTTCATCATTTAAATGAAAAGTTCAAGACGGATGGACGGATGCTGCGCCGCGACACAATCGCATTTGCGCTTCAGGCAGGTGTACTAAACACTTACAGTTGTTCATCATTCCACTCATAGGTGGCGAGCTGGTTGTCGGTGATCTGGGCCAAGCCATAGATGAGATGGGTACAGAGGCTGGCGTCGATGTTGCTTGGCTTGAACTTTCCCAGCCCCGGTCGGTACTGTGACCAGTTGGTATGGTAACACACGCGACGGTATCCCGCTAGGGCTGAATGAATACATAAACGTCAGTATCAATTCACGTATTATATCTCAAGTATCAATGACTCATCTATGAAAGGAAATCACAGCCATACTTATATTTAATAATGTTCTGTTTCTAGTTGGGATTATCATTCTAGTGTTATCTGTAGTTTTTCATTTGATAAAGTTTGTTAATTTTAGTTTGAAATCTGAAACATTTAATGCAACGTCATTTTTGAATATTAACATTTTCACTGCAAGTTCTTCTTTAAGCTTTACCAAATAAATTGTGTTCACAGGACTATAAACGCAATTGGATCAGCGTCATTTTGAAGTGTCTCCTCCGCCTCAATTAACATAAGACAACCACTAGAAACAAACATTTTGGTGACGTTAGGCTGTTCCATGAATCTCGTTTGCAATGACGGCATAAACACTTCAATATCGAAAATATCATGGGAAATCTTTGTTAAGCTCAATAATATCTAAAGTTTTAGAATGTAAATACAATGTACAAGCATTTAATGGCATTTTTCAGTGTTCATGCCGATATGAACGCAAAACCGGTTACATACATATTTATCATGAATGCTAGAGCTTCATGGAATATGTATGTAACCGATCATCGTTCATACCAGCATGAAAATAAAAAAATAAATGCCGTTCAATCCTTATCTATATGTACCACGATTTCTGTGTCAATATTCTCCTACAATCGGGTTTTTTTTCTCGGCAGTTTATAATTTATTAATGTACATAAATATTCTTAACTAGAAACAATAAACTGAAACAAAAGAAATAAAAAGAAATCTACAGATATAATAATATCCGAAACTACAAATATTAACTAATTAAGGCGGTGATTCTCTTCGATATTACCTACATACACTCCCGTCCTTGTCGAGTAACTCGGGTCAACGAAACTAAACGGTTGATTGGTCACATGTACGAGTGTCTATCAATATAAATGTATGAACATATGTTTACATTTAAAGATATCGGATCAAAGCAGAGTACTTGTACTTTGCCTCCAGTGTCCGACTTACCTTGGCGGGAGAGAAGGAGAATAGTAGCGGTGACTAGGGTGAGTTTGACTGACATGGCGACTGTCCGCTGTTTTATGACTAATGACTGCCCTCCCCGTGACTGGTTACGTGTATACTACCTGACCTTCCGGAAATATAGAGGGTTTCGGCGGTACGTGCGGTCTGGTGCTGTCTGAGGGGCCCTAAGGGATTTTTTATTTAAACATATTTTATTTCCACAAATAAAAATAAGAGGCCAAATGGGCCTGCGTCGCTCACCTGGTATTAATCTCACACTTGTAACCTTAAAGTGATCTAAAATAAAGCAGAGGCAAAATATCAGTATTTATGACTATTACTCATTCAAAAGAACATGTTAAAAGATTTTAAAACATTTGACCCTTGTGACCTTTAAAGTCGAACAATGGCATTACGTTGAACAAACTTTATAGCCCTTCATCTCACCATGCAACTTGCCAAATATCACCACCCTAGACCTTTTTAAATGAGATTAGGTCATATAAAGGTTTATACATATCTGACCAAATGTGATCTTGAAAGAGGGTCAAGGTCATTCAAATGACTTGATAGCCCTCCATCCAAGCTTGCAACTGCCCAAATATCAACATTCTGGGCCTCATGGTTATTCAGAAGAAGCCGTTTAAAGGAGTTTAAACATATTTGACTCCATTTATTTGAACGAATTTGGTAGCCCTTCATCCTAGCATAATACTGGCCAGATCTCATCACCCTGGTCTTTTGATTATTCAGAAGAAGTCATTTAAAGATTTTAAACATAGTTGACCCCTGTGACCTTGAATATAGGTCAAGGTCATTCATTTCAATAAACTTGGATGCCCTTAATCCCAGCTTGTTACGAGCTTATTATCATCATCCTGAGCCTTTTGGTTATTCAGAAAAGGTCGTTTAAATATTTTAAACATATCTGACCCCTGTGACCTTGAATATAAGCTAAAGACATTATTTAAACAAACTTGGTAGCCCTTCATCATAGCAGGCTACTGACCAGATATCAACATCCGTGGTCTTTTGGTTTTTCAGAAGAAGTTGTTTAAAGGGTTTCAAAGACAATTGACCCTGTGACCTTGAATATAAGTGAAGGTCATTTATTTGAACAAACTTGGTAGCATTTTTATCCCAGCATGCTACTGGCCAAATATCAAAACTTTGGCCTTTTGGTTATTCAGAAGAAGTTGTTTAAATGTTTAAACATATCTGACCCCTGTGACCTTGAATATTAGCCAAAGACATTATTTAAACAAACTTGGCAGCCCTTCATCCTAGCATAATACTGGCCAGATATCATCACCCTGGTCTTTTGATTATTCAGAAGAAGTCATTTAAAGAATTTTAACATAGTTGACCCCTGTGACCTTTAATATAGGTCAAGGTCATTCATTTCAATAAACTTGGATGCCCTTTATCCCAGCTTGTTACGAGCTTATTATCATCATCCTGAGTCTTTGGTTATTCAGAAAAGGTCGTTTAAATATTTTAAACATATCTGACCCCTGTGACCTTGAATATAAGCTAAAGACATTATTTAAACAAACTTGGTAGCCCTTCATCATAGCATGCTACTGACCAGATATCAACATCCGTGGTCTTTTGGTTTTTCAGAAGAAGTTGTTTAAAGGGTTTCAAAGACAATTGACCCTGTGACCTTGAATATAAGTGAAGGTCATTTATTTGAACAAACTTGGTAGCATTTTTATCCCAGCATGCTACTGGCCAAATATCAAAACTTTGGCCTTTTGGTTATTCAGAAGAAGTTGTTTAAATGTTTAAACATATCTGACCCCTGTGACCTTGAATATTAGCCAAAGACATTATTTAAACAAACTTGGCAGCCCTTCATCCTAGCATAATACTGGCCAGATATCATCACCCTGGTCTTTTGATTATTCAGAAGAAGTCATTTAAAGAATTTTAACATAGTTGACCCCTGTGACCTTTAATATAGGTCAAGGTCATTCATTTCAATAAACTTGGATGCCCTTTATCCCAGCTTGTTACGAGCTTATTATCATCATCCTGAGTTTTTGGTTATTCAGAAAAGGTCGTTTAAATATTTTAAACATATCTGACCCCTGTGACCTTGAATATAAGCTAAAGACATTATTTAAACAAACTTGGTAGCCCTTCATCATAGCATGCTACTGACCAGATATCAACATCCGTGGTCTTTTGGTTTTTCAGAAGAAGTTGTTTAAAGGGTTTCAAAGACAATTGACCCTGTGACCTTGAATATAAGTGAAAGTCATTTATTTGAACAAACTTGGTAGCATTTTTATCCCAGCATGCTACTGGCCAAATATCAAAACTTTGGCCTTTTGGTTATTCAGAAGAAGTTGTTTAAATGTTTAAACATATCTGACCCCTGTGACCTTGAATATTAGCCAAAGACATTATTTAAACAAATTTGGCAGCCCTTAATCCTAGCATGCTACTGGCTAGATATCAGCGTCCGTGGTCTTTTGGTTATTCAGAAGAAGTTGTTTAAAGGTTTTCAAAGACAATTGACCCCTGTGACCTTCAATGTAAGTGAAGGTCATTTATTAGAACAAACTTGGATGCCCTTTATCCCAGCATGTTACGAGCTTAATATCATCATCCTGGACCTTTTGGTTATTCAGAAGAAATGGTTTAAAGGTTTTAAACATATCTGACCACTGTGACACTGAATATAAGTCAAGGTCATACATTTCAATAAAATTGGTAGCCCTTCATCCTCGCATGTTACTGGCCAGATATCATAACCCTGTTTTTGTGTTATTCAGAAGAAATCGTTTAAATATTTTGAACATATTTGACCCCTGTGACCTTGAATATTGGTGAAGGTCATGTATTTAAACAAACTTTTTAGCCCTTCATTCCAGTTTGCTTCTGGCCAAAAATCATTCACTAGGCCTTTTAGTTATTAAGAAGAAATTGTTTAAATTAAAATATTGACGCCGCCCGGCCGGCCGGACGAAGAATACCGCGCAACAGCATAAGCTCACTTAGCCGTTCGAGACAGATGAGCTAAAAAATGAATAGAACGAAAGTTTCCAAAACTGTATTGCTATCTTTGGGTGAACCAGTATTGACATGTTTGTGTGTACCAGTATTGACATGTTTGTGTGTTTCAGTATTGACATGTTTGGGTACACCAGTATTGACATGTTTGGGTGTGCAAGTTTTGACATGTTTCGGTGTACCAGTATTGACATGTTTGGGTGTACCATTGTTGACATGTTTGGGTGTACCATTGTTGACATGTTTGGGTGTACCAGTATTGACATGTTTGGGTGTACACGTTTTGACATGTTTGGGTGTACCAGTATTGACATGTTTGGGTGTACAAGTTTTGACATGTTTCGGTGTACCAGTATTGACATGTTTTGGTGTACCATTGTTGACATGGTTGGGTGTACCATTGTTGACATGTTTGGGTGTATCAGTATTGATATGTTTTGGGTGTGCCAGTATTGACATGTTTGGGTGTACCAGTATTGACATGTTTGTGTGTACCAGTATAGACATGTTTGGGTGTACCATTGTTGACATATTTGGGTGTACCAGTATTGACATGTTTTGGGTGTACCAGTATTGACATGTTTGGGTGTACCAGTATTGACATGTTTGGGTGTACCAGTATTGACATGTTTGGGTGTACCAGTATTGACATGTTTGGGTGTACCAGTATTGACATGTTTGGGTGTACCAGTATTGACATGTTTGGGTGTACCAGTATTGACATGTTTGGGTGTACCAGTATTGACATGTTTGGGTGTACCAGTATTGACATGTTTGGGTGTACCATTGTTGACATGTTTGGGTGTACCAGTTTTGACATGTTTGGGTGTACCAGTATTGACATGTTTGGGTGTACCAGTATTGACATGTTTGGGTGTACCAGTATTGACATGTTTGGGTGTACCAGTATTGACATGTTTGGGTGTACCAGTATTGACATGTTTGGGTGTACCAGTATTGACATGTTTGGGTGTACCAGTATTGACATGTTTGGGTGTACCAGTATTGACATGTTTGGGTGTACCAGTATTGACATGTTTGGGTGTACCAGTATTGACATGTTTGGGTGTACCAGTATTGACATGTTTGGGTGTACCAGTATTGACATGTTTGGGTGTACCAGTATTGACATGTTTGGGTGTACCAGTATTGACATGTTTGGGTGTACCAGTATTGACATGTTTGGGTGTACCAGTATTGACATGTTTGGGTGTACCAGTATTGACATGTTTTGGTGTACCAGTATTGACATGTTTGGGTGTACCAGTGTTGACATGTTTGGGTGTACCAGTATTGACATGTTTGGGTGTACCATTGTTGACATGTTGAGGTGTACCATTGTTAACATGTTTGGGTGTACCAGTATTGACATGTTTGGGTGTACCAGTATTGACATGTTTGGGTGTACCATTGTTGACATGTTTGGGTGTACCAGTATTGACATGTTTGGGTGTACCAGTATTGACATGTTTGGGTGTACCATTGTTGACATGTTTGGGTGTACCATTGTTGACATGTTTGGGTATACCATTGTTGACATGTTTGGGTGTACCATTGTTGACATGTTTGGGTGTACCAGTATTGACATGTTTGGGTGTACCAGTATTGACATTTTTGGGTGTACCATTGTTGACATGTTTGGGTGTACTGGTATTTACATATTTGGGTGTACCAGTATTGACATGTTTGCGTGTACCAGTTTTGACATGTTTGGGTGTACCATTGTTGACATGTTTGGGTGTACCATTGTTGACATGTTTGGGTGTACCATTGTTGACATGTTTGGGTGTACCATTGTTGACATGTTTGGGTGTACCAGTATTGACATGTTTGGGTGTACCATTGTTGACATGTTTGGGTGTACTGGTATTTACATATTTGGGTGTAACAGTATTTTCACATTTGGTTGTACCAGTATTTACATATTTGGGTGTACCAGTATTGACGTTTCGGATGTTTCAGTATTGACATGTTTAAGGTGTACCAGTATTGACATGTTTGGGTGTACCAGTATTGACGTTTCGGATGCTTCAGTATTATATGTTTAAGGAGTACCAGTATTGACGTTTCGGATGTTTCAGTATTATATGTTTAAGGTGTACCAGTATTGACATGTTTTGGTGTACCAGTATTGACGTTTCGGATGTTTCAGTATTGACATGTTTAAGGTGTACCAGTATTGACGTTTCGGATGTTTCAGTATTGACATGTTTAAGGTGTACCAGTATTGACGTTTCGGATGTTTCAGTATTGACATGTTTAAGGTGTACCAGTATTGACGTTTCGGATGTTTCAGTATTGACATGTTTAAGGTGTACCAGTATTGACGTTTCGGATGTTTCAGTATTGACATGTTTAAGGTGTACCAGTATTGACGTTTCGGATGTTTCAGTATTGACATGTTTAAGGTGTACCAGTATTGACGTTTCGGATGTTTCAGTATTGACATGTTTAAGGTGTACCAGTATTGACGTTTCAGATGTTTCAGTATTGACATGTTTAAGGTGTACCAGTATTGACATGTTTAAGGTGTACCAGTATTGACATATTTGGGTGTACCAGTATTTTCACATTTGGTTGTACCAGTATTGACATGTTTAAGGTGTACCAGTATTGACATGTTTAATGTGTACCAGTATTGACATGTTTAAGGTGTACCAGTATTGACGTTTCGGATGTTTCAGTGTTGACATGTTTAAGGTGTACCAGTATTTACATATTTGGGCGTAACAGTAAATCGTGAGGCGTCCATATACATGTTATATTTGTAAAGGTAAGATTTTCTTCCATCAAATAATAACAATGCTTCCGTTTTCAAAAACTTTATTTTATTGGGAACATATGTTAATATTGTTTTTGATTTTGCTATTAAGAGGACTTGGTCATTCAAAGGTGTGCCTTTGTTCGTATTCGAAATTCAGAAAAGACAAAAAATACATTGAAATGAAAAAACTGAATACATGTCTGCTCATGTCATGGAACGGTGTGTGCCAACTGTATAAGTACATTTGGCACGTTAAATAAATAAAAACAAATAAACATAAGTAACATGAAAAAAATCTAGCAAGAAATAAAGCAAATATAAACAAAATCAAAACAACTTTCGACAAAGACGACCTATCATGTAGGGACAATTTTGTTTCACATAGATCATCAGTAATTGATTTCGTCAATGTCTAGAATGCCTTATTTCACATAGATCATTAGTAATGGATTTCGTCAATGACTAGAATGCCTTATTTCACATAGATCATCAGTAATGGATTTCGTCAATGACTAGAATGCTTTATTTCGGCACACGGGCCGATAGATCCTTCCTGAGTTATACAGACAGGATGGTGAATGATTCTTCTAACTGTTTGTCTAACATTTAGCCTGATCTGCCCAAGCACACACTTTTTTGTCCTTATCATACAGCGTCCCAGGAGGACAGGACATATAAGCAGGTTGACCGTTGGCACATTTGATAAACTGTGAGCAGTCTGTAGGATGTGAATAATCTCCACTTGGTCGGCCATCACAGGAGAAAGCTGAAGAAAAAAAAGGTGAGTTATCACGAATTTTGTCATACAATTATGTACGATAATATTCCCACTCCAACACATTTCCTACTTTGCTCATTTTATATAGCCGGAGTAGTAGTAATGGTAAACGTAATATTACACATTATTGTCCTTGTTGTAGGGAACCACCATATTATATTTGCCATGGAGAGCTTTTCCTCGATTAATCATGTATCACGAGGGCGGCTAGCCCTCGTGAAACTTATTAATCGAGGGGAAAAACAAAAGGAATGTGGTTCCCTACCACATTGGCAATAAAAGCTTTATTATACAGAAATCAGATTGACGCGACATTGTTACGACATTAAATTTCCCCGTCATGTGATCAAAATAATCCAATCAGACACATTGTTATATATTCATGATCATTGTCAGTAAACGGGGACCGACTTACTTCCAGGAGTCGCGGTTGTGATCGGTACTTGTGGTGTCGTTGTGACGTCAGACTGGTCACACTGGGCGTTGTATACCTGCCCTCCGACACACCGGAAGTAGCGGCCACACTGTGCTGGGTCCTCGTAAAATCCATCATTCCTACCATTGCACTCTGAAAATTAAAATGATTAGAACTGAATTTGTCTAATAATATACTGAATTTATCAGTAACCCACATATGCTATACTGTGCGGGTTGTGTACTTACGGTCTGGACCCGGAGTCATGGCCATTGTTGTCTTATGAACGGCGGTTTGAGCCGAAACAGTCGTGGGCGAGGCCGTGGTTACCGGGGCGACAGTTGGTGGAACGAATCCATTCTCAGCAGCGATGAGCTCGTCTTTAATTCTGTTTACCAATGGGAACTTTCGGCTAGACGAGGTGCAAACCTGGTTGAAGTCATCCAGGGGAAGCGCCCAGACCATGGCGCCACCAAAGCCTTCCTGTGCCAGCCAAGCCACCTGGTGAAACAAAAAACTATTTATATTGTCGACAAAAGTTTTAGATTTTGATGTTCAATTTCTTTATTTGCTGAAGTTTCACAACTTATGGCAAAGAGACTCACAGGGATACACTCACACTGACTCGCACACATCATCTTCATCATCTTCATCATCCTCATCTTCTTCTTCATCATCATCATCATCATCATCATCATCATCATCATCCCAGCAACAGCAGCAGCAATCATACACACGCCAGAACCTTTTTCACTTTCATTCACCCAGACAAGACTAATTTGTATTCAATGAACTGATATACAACATGTATCTTAACATGACCTGTTCTAATGATGACCTCTTAATAAATCTGCTCCACGTTTAAACGCTAGTGATAAATACTTTCCTAAATTATTAAGTCCTTTGTGTTTTCGATTTTGAGTAATTGAACAAATTTATACATACTAGGCTTTTTGAAATAATATTGCTTTATGTATTTAGACCGGAGGTCTGCATAGCGATTACATTTAATTATAATATGAAATTCATCTTCTATATCATTTTCATTACATAAAATACATTTTCTTTCTTCTCTATGTATTCTTAGAAATATGTTTTAGATCATTTGAATTAATTGGCTTATGAAGAAATTGTTGCAATTTAATACTTTCCACTAAATGCTGATATAATACTCCTTTAGAAGAAGAATGAACTTTCTCTAGACAAGCTTGCTGAAAACTATCACATAATCGCTGCTTATATACTTCACTAGAATGATTAATACTATCAGTCACAAACATGTATCCAAGGCCGACTCTTGAAAGATCATGTTTTAAGTTAAGGATCCAGGGGTCTTTATTTTCAACCATATAATCATAACAAGCTTTCAGCACACAGTTATCAGAACGTTGTAATTTAATCCAATACTTAAAAAAATTAACTTTTTTTAATAGCTCTAAATGAGATCTTCTAAATTCAATATAAAGAAATGCAGTGTTTTTAGATTTTCTTAATCCTAATAATGATTTCAAAAATCCAATATGCATTTTCTCTATTTCGGGTGCTTTATGAAATCCCCAAATTTCTGAACCGCACATAAAATACTATTGACAAACGTGTCAAAAACAGCAAGACGAGATTCTACATGTATATTAAAATAATTCTTTTTTCATACATTATTTATGGCAAATAGTGCTTTTCGACCTTGTTCTGCTAGTTTTTTGGTTTTTTTTGTAAATTTTCCATTATAGTTTAAAGTGAGACCAAGATCATTAAACTCATCAACTACTTTCATCGCATCATTATTATGAAACCATTTTTCTTTTGCTCTTATTAAACCACCATTTCTAAAGATAACTATTTTTGTTTTATCTACATTTAAAGTTAAGCTCCATTTTCTACAATAATCTGATAGTGAATCTAACATTTTCTGTGAATTTCGCTCTTAAAACATGTAAGTACTATATGAATTAAACGTGACGAGAAGATGACAAAACATTTAACGTAATGATAATAAAGCTCATAGATACTAAACATATCTGTTCTTCTGTATATGACATAGAAGGAAAATAAAGTATGAATCAGGAAGTGCAGAAATCGTTGTGTTGTTCCTTACCTTTACGGACAGGCTCTGCTCGTCGTCATAACCGACCCACGTCTTGTCGTTCACGTAGTATGGCACCAGCTGTTCACTGTCCCTGTACGTGGTCCCTCCCGACTCCATCATTTTACAGATCTATTAAGAAACAGAGTCTATTAGTTAAGTTAACACGCAATATTACCGCTTTAACGCAGGCAAATAGTTTTGTAACAGTTATTGAATTAATGAAAATATCCAAGCTAAACATGAATAAATCTGACCTCATAGTAAGCCATGTATCCGGCTTCCCGTGTGTAAGTCCCGGCCGGGCTGGCCCCGCTCACCGGTGCTCCCATACTGTGGTTAGCCGCGTCCGTGAGTGTGAAGCCTCGTCCGTAAGATGCTAGGCCGATGTTTAGGTTCGCCTTTGGAGCTCCGAGTGTGTTCCAGTAGTCGGATGCCCAATCCTTCGGAGCATAATAACATTTCATTATTGACAATTAAAGTGTACCCTGAACGAAAATAGAAATGAATATATTATTATTCTATATACCGCATAAAAATCGGTCATCCCAATACCGAGATATTGACGTTTGATTGTACGATTTATCAAGTATACATCGTACATCCCAGACACCTGTGACGTTTCGAGACAATTTCTGTTTCGTCTCTCTTAGAACAAAGTTGTGGTATAAGTAAAACAAACCATGTTTAATTGTTTTTGTTCGTCACTTTCGGAAACCCTCGGAAACAACGGACTGTTGTGACCTGTCTCTTGCTCCCAACTACCGTGCAGGTCATAGGTCATAATGCTGATGAAGTCCAAGTACCTGCAGACAGATGTCATATATATATGTTAATAAAGTAGGGAAATTCGTACATATATTTAAACTGTATTTTGTTTATAGATTCTCTCCTACTTAACATTTAAAATGACTATAGTTCGTACATGGCCATTGCGGGTACATCGTAGGCAGGATCGATGTAGTTTTTCCCTGCAGCCACAGCGGCTGTTACTAGGAGTCGCTCATTTCCGGTCCGTTTTGCCTCGTCTTCGTACGCTTCTCGTAACTCCTGTGGAGACGAAACAGATAGCGTTGTGTCAAACATTATTGAAATGGAAAATATCGAACTTGGAATGAGAAAAGAGGAAGTATACATACATGTACCATCAAAATGTGAGGTACTTCAGTGTTAGACATACATTAAACATTACAATGTACATCCATCAAAATTGTGATTTTTTTTCCAGCGAAAAGGTATTTTTTTCTAAAGCCATTTCAACATATTTTGGCAAGGTACTACAAACTACAGCAGAGTACCTTACAGAGTGTAGTAATTATGAGTAACTACAGCTGACCTACCTTACAGAGTCTAGCAATTATAAGTTACTACAGCTGACGTACCTTACAGGGTGTAGTAAGTATAAGTTACTACACCTGACGTACCTTACAGAGTGTAGTAATTATAAGTTACTACAGCTGACGTACCTTACAGAGTGTAGTAATTATGAGTAACTACAGCTGACGTTCCTTATAGAGTGCAGTAATTAAGGGTAACTACAGCTGACGTTCCTTATAGAGTGCAGTAATTATAAGGTACTACACCTGGCCTACCTTACATAGTCTAGCAATTATAAGTTACTACAGCTGACGTACCTTACAGAGTGTAGTAATTATAAGTTACTACATCTGACGTACCTAACAGAGTGTAGTAAGTATATGTTACTACAGCTGACGTACATTACAGAGTGTAGTCGTTATAAGTTACTACAGCTGACGTACCTTACAGAGTGTAGTAAGTATAAGTTACTACAGCTGACGTACCTTACAAAGTGTAGCGAAATTGGCTTTGTCTGAGGTTTTCCCTCCCCTGCTGCCTGGGTACTCCCAGTCGAGGTCAAGGCCGTCGAAGCCGTACTTCCGGAGGAAGGTGACGGAGGAAGAGACGAATTTGTCCCTTGATTGTGGATCTGTAACCATTGGAGAGAAATGTGTGCTGGCCTGGTTCCATCCTCCCACAGCCAGCAGGGTCTTCAGGCTTGGGTTCTTTAGCTTGAGGGCGTTAAACTCTTGGTACCTTACAAATAAAAGTGTTCGGTTATTTGTTAACGATATATAAACTTACACATTAAAAACTAGTTTTCCCAACTAAAACCAACAGTGACACGAGATCTATATTTACATATCAGTGTTAAGTTCATGATACTTAACTTTAGTGGATGATAAAACGCCAATCATCTGAGAAGAAAGGACATACTTACAGTTGTTCATCATTCCACTCGTAGATGGCGAGCTGATTGTCGGTGATCTGGGCGAAGGAGTAGATGAGATGGGTACAGAGGCTGGCGTCGATATTGCTGACTTTGAATTTGCCCAGCCCCGGTCGGTACTGGGACCAGTTGGTATGGTAACACACGCGACGGTATCCCGCTAGGGCTGAATAAATGCATAAAATAATAAATGGTTTCATGTTTTTAGATGAGTGTGAAATAACTGTATACCTTTGATATTGCTGAAAAGTGTATCGTTGTCATTTTTGTGGGAGAAAGTTTATGTAACATGACCATTCTGAGAGGAAACCATCTAAATTTACTATTAACCAATCAGTAAACAATTCGCCATTCAGTACGCACTGTACATGTAAAATGACACTATGAAGATATTGAAAATAAACTTTTTCGCCGTGACAGATAAGGAGAATGGTGGCAGTGACTTTACCGTGGTAACAGAAAAGGAGGATGGTGGAGGTGAGTTTTAGCGGTGACAGAGACGGGGGGAAAGGTGGCGGTGACTTTCCACGATGACTGAGAAGGAGGATGTTGGCAGTGACTTAGCGCGGTGACAGAGAAGGAGGAAGGTGGAGGTGAGTTTTCGCGGTGACAGAGAAGGAGGAAGGTGGAGGTGAGTTTTCGCGATGACAGTGAAGGAGGATGGTGGCGGTGACTTACCAGGATGATTGAGAAGGAGAAGCGTGGCGGTACGGTAACTTGCCAGGATGACAGAGAAGGAGGATGGTGGCGGTAACTTACCAGGATGACAGAGAAGGAGGAAGGTGGCGGTAACTTACCAGGATGTCAGAGGAGGATGGTTGCGGTGACATACCGCGGTGACAGAGAAGGAGGATGATGGTGGTGACTTACCGCGTAGACAGAGAAAGAGGATGGTTGCGGTGACTTACCAGGATGATAGAGAAGGAGGAAGGTGGCGATGACTTACCAGGATGACCGAGAAGGAGGAAGGTGGCGGTGACCTATCATGGAGACAGAGAAGGAGGAAGGTGGCGGTGACTTACCGGGATGTCAGAGGAGGATGGTTGCGGTGACTTACCAGGATGACAGGGAAGGAGGAAGGTGGCGGTAACTTACCAGGATGTCAGAGGAGGATGGTTGCGGTGACATACCGCGGTGACAGAGAAGGAGGATGATGGTGGTGACTTACCGCGTAGACAGAGAAAGAGGATGGTTGCGGTGACTTACCAGGATGATAGAGAAGGAGGAAGGTGGCGATGACTTACCAGGATGACAGAGAAGGAGAAGCGTGGCGGTAACTTGCCAGGATGACAGAGAAGGAGGATGGTGGCGGTAACTTACCAGGATGACAGAGAAGGAGGAAGGTGGCGGTGACCTATCATGGAGACAGAGAAGGAGGAAGGTGGTGGTGACTTACCGCGATGACAGAGAAAGAGGAAGGTGGCGGTGACTTACCAGGATGACCGAGAAGGAGGAAGGTGACGGTTACCTATCATGGAGACAGAGAAGGAGGAAGGTGGCGGTGACTTACCAGGATGTCAGAGGAGGATGGTTGCGGTGACTTACCAGGATGACAGAGAAGGAGGAAGGTGGCGGTAACTTACCAGGATGACAGAGAAGGAGGAAGGTGGCGGTGACCTATCATGGAGACAGAGAAGGAGGAAGGTGGCGGTGACTTACCAGGATGACAGAGGAGGATGGTGGCGGTAACTTACCGCGTATACAGAGAAAGAGGAAGGTGGCGGTGACTTACCAGGATGACCGAGAAGGAGGAAGGTGGCGGTTACCTATCATGGAGACAGAGAAGGAGGAAGGTGGCGGTGTCTTACCAGGATGTCAGAGGAGGATGGTTGCGGTGACTTAGCGCGTAGACAGAGAAAGAGGATGGTTGCGGTGACTTACCAGGATGACAGAGGAGGATGGTGGCGGTAACTTACCGCGTAGACAGAGAAAGAGGAAGGTGGCGGTGACTTACCAGGATGTCAGAGGAGGATGGTTGCGGTGACTTACCGCGTAGACAGAGAAAGAGGATGGTTGCGGTGACTTACCAGGATGATAGAGAAGCAGGAAGGTGGCGGTAACTTACCAGGATGACAGAGAAGGAGGATGGTGGCGGTGACTTACCGCGATGACAGAGAAGGAGGAAGGTGGCGGGGACCTATAATGGAGACAGAGAAGGAGAAAGGTGGCGGTGACTTACCAGGATGACAGAGGAGGATGGTGGCGGTAACTTACCGCGTAGACAGAGAAAGAGGATGGTGGCGGTGACTTACCAGGATGACAGAGGAGGATGGTGGCGGTAACTTACCGCGTAGACAGAGAAAGCGGAAGGTGGCGGTGACTTACCAGGATGACAGGATGTCAGAGGAGGATGGTTGCGGTGACATACCGCGGTGACAGAGAAGGAGGAAGGTGGCGGTGACCTATCAGGGAGACAGAGAAGGAGGAAGGTGGCGGTGACCTATCAGGGAGACAGAGAAGGAGGAAGGTGGCGGGGACCTATAATGGAGACAGAGAAGGAGAAAGGTGGCGGTGACTTACCAGGATGACCGAGAAGGAGGAAGGTGACGGTTACCTATCATGGAGACAGAGAAGGAGGAAGGTGGCGGTGACCGATCATGGAGACATGATAGAGAAGCAGGAAGGTGGCGGTATCTTACCAGGATGACAGAGAAGGAGGAAGGTGGCGGTGACCTATCAGGGAGACAGAGAAGGAGGAAGGTGGCGGTGACCTATCAGGGAGACAGAGAAGGAGGAAGGTGGCGGTGACCGATCATGGAGACAGAGAAGGAGGAAGGTGGCGGTGACCTATCAGGGAGACAGAGAAGGAGGAAGGTGGTGGTGCCTTACCGCGATGACAGAGAAGGAGGAAGGTGGCGGTGTCTTACCAGAATGACAGAGAAGGAGGATGGTGGCGGTGACTTACCACGATGACAGAGAAGGAGGAAGGTGGCGGTGACCTATCAGGGAGACAGAGAAGGAGGAAGGTGGTGGTGACTTACCGCGATGACAGAGAAGGAGGAAGGTGGCGGTGTCTTACCAGAATGACAGAGAAGGAGGATGGTGGCGGTGACTTACCAGGATGACAGAGGAGGATGGTGGCGGTAACTTACCGCGTAGACAGAGAAAGAGGATGGTTGCAGTGGCTTACCAGGATGATAGAGAAGCAGGAAGGTGGCGGTAACTTACCAGTATGACAGAGAAGGAGGAAGGTGGCGGTGTCTTACCAGAATGACAGAGAAGGAGGATGGTGGCGGTGACTTACCGCGGTGACAGAGAAGGAGGATGGTGGCGGTGACTTACCAGGATGATAGAGAAGGAGGAAGGTAGCGATGACTTACCAGGATGACAGAGAAGGAGAAGCGTGGCGGTGACCTATCATGGAGACAGAAAAAGAGGAAGGTGGCGGTGACTTACCAGATGACAGAGAAGGAGGAAGGTGGCGGTAAAGTGTAACTTACCGCGGTGACAGAGAAGGAGGATGGTGGCGGTGACTTACCGCGAAGACAGAGAAGGAGGAAGGTGGCGGTGACTTACCAGGATATCAGAGGAGGATGGTTGCGGTGACTTACCAGGATGACAGAGAAGAAGGAAGGTGGCGGTGACCTACCATGGAGACAGAGAAGGAGGAAGGTGGCGGTGACTTACCGCGATGACAGAGAAGGAGAAGCGTGGCGGTGACCTATCATGGAGACAGAGGATGATAGAGAAGCAGGAAGGTGGCGGTATCTTACCAGGATGACAGAGAAGGAGGAAGGTAGCGGTGACCTATCATGGAGACAGAGAAGGCGGAAGGTGGCGGTAACTTACCAGGATGACAGAGAACGAGGACGGTGGCGGTGACTTACCAGGATGACAGGATGTCAGAGGAGGATGGTTGCGGTGACATACCGCGGTGACAGAGAAGGAGTATGATGGTGGTGACTTACCGCGTAGACTGAGAAAGAGGATGGTTGCGGTGACTTACCAGGATGACAGAGAAGCAGGAAGGTGGCGGTAACTTACCAGTATGACAGAGAAGGAGGAAGGTGGCGGTGACCTATCATGGAGGCAGAGAAGGAGGAAGGTGGTGGTGACTTACCAGGATGACAGAGAAGTAGGAAGGTGGCGGTGACTTACCTTGGTTTAAGGAAAGGAGGATGGTGGCGGTGACTTATCTTGGTGTGAGAGAAGTAGTATGGTGGCGTGACTTACCATTGTGAGAGAGGAGCAGGATGGTCAGTGACGGTGACTTACCTTGGTGAGAGAGGAGCAGGATCGTCAGTGACGGTGACTTAACATGGTGAGAGAGGAGCAGGATGGTCAGTGACGGTGACTTACCTTGGTGAGAGAGGAGCAGGATCGTCAGTGACGGTGACTTACCTTGGTGAGAGAGGAGCAGGATGGTGGCGGTAACGAGAATGAGCTTCACTGACATGTTGACTGTCCGGAACTGCATGACTTAATGAACGTTTCCTCTCCTATGGTCAGATATTTATACAACTCTGTACCTCCGGAATCGCCACGTCTGTCGTTGGTTGGATCCGTCATCAGGATACTCCCACCTAACGATAAAGTCAGCCCATCAGCAGTAATAATGAAATAGAGCCAAGCGGGAGGGTAACAGGTGTTGTTTGTTACCATTAAATAACAGAATACACATATAAATGGACATCGGTCTATGTCATCAGATGACTTCACGTGATTTTAATTATTACATACGTTAACAGGTTAAAACTAAAGTTTTGAATATCTAATGATCGTATCGTTGCATACTGAGCTGGCTGACCTCTGTGTGATAATTGATTAACGATATATGTGAATATGTGAATGCGTGTTAGGCAAAAAAGAAAAATAGAATTATGTTTATTTCAGGTATCCTAAACGATCTTAGATTTTACCTCCGTCCCTTACAACTTTATCTCAATCGAATTAATTTAAACGTCCCATTCAAACGCGCCGAAAATCGTAAGCGTTTTTATGACATCTCCGTTTTTCATTGGCAGGTATCAAAACCAAATTTAAATTCCCATATTAATACTTAAAAGACCTAAAAGTATATAAAAAATAATACAATTGGTCTGAATAAGTTTGTTTGGTGATTTTTGTAATTTTCTTAATGAGCCACATACCTCTCATTAGCTTCCCAAAACATGTAAGAACAATTCCCTTCTGACCTACCCTAGTTTTTTCAGTCATGTTACCTTAAATATACATATATTTTCATCGCCTTAACTGAAACTGTAAAACAACTACCTTGAATTTTATTTCGATAACAGATTACATCTTTTACCTGATTCAGTCAAGAGTCCTGTACACAACAGTAGTCCTCTTTCTTGCCTGGAGTAGTCCTATTTTTGGGAGGGAGTAGCCCTCAAATGGAGATATTTAAGCGATTTTATGGAAATAAGAGATTTTATCGTATTGCTTTTTATATAGGGAAAAACTCAGTAGAGGTATAATAATATAAACTCCCGTAAAATCCTACTTTACTGAGAGCCTTTGTACACAGAGAATACCAAGTATATCAATCGGACCGGAATTCAAGGTAATTGTTTTTTACAAATGTTCAATACTAGGAATACCAAGAACATCATATTGATCAGACCTGATCTCGGGTCCACCTGGAAATGTATAATAATCAATATGGGCATTCAGTCAAATGATATCCCCCCTTCCTAATGATGGCCGTAACTTCAGAAAAGAAGGATGGTCGTAGTCATATTTTTACTTTGTAGTAAATAGGAAAATTTCAAAAGCTTCGTGCGATAAGATAGAGCGTTGTCAGAATAAGGTATATGGTACCATATACATATGTGTAGGTCCAGTATCAGGTATCTTTATATTCAAGTACAATCAGTACAAGTGTGTTAGTGTCCATGTATTAGTTACATGTGGTGATAGTTTGAATTCATTTGATTAAAATCAATCATAATTTAGACTAATAAGTTCAAATTACTACAGTGCAAAATTGACAATATGCATAGTATGTGTAAGTGTGTCGTGTCCAATTTATGAGCAGTACTTCCGGTGACGGGTTTATATTTGGTAGGTGTACAGTCACCACTAGGTCTGGAGTGTCTAATGGCCAGCATTAGTAATAATACTATATTCCACCTACGTCATGCGTCTCTTTTCAAACCGCAATAAAACCTTAGTATCTAAATCAATATTTTAAGACCGATTTGATCATCAGTTGCTCATTGATGACCAGTATATACATCGTGTTATTGTGGTGGCCGACAAAGTGCGACGAACTCAGTTTATTTGTCAGATATAGGTATACGTAACGGTCAGTTATTAGACGTCGTGTATGTTACACTGTCCCTCCCTGTCCGACTTGTCACGGCCCGACATCGTCATCGCCAAACTTTAACCTCGTATCGTGTCTAGTGTTTTGTCATATTTTATATTAGTGAAATATAAGGATTTGTGGCGAAAATAATTTTTTATCATCCTCCATGTAAAAAGAACAGTAGATATTGTTTAATTGGGGAGCATCATGTTTTTTTTGATGAAAATAGTTTCGTTCAAATGCATTTTATGATGCCTGACATATTTTAATTCTTATATTTATGTTCAAAACAACGGGTTATTTGTATTTCATCCTGTATCTTATCTTATGTCTGGTTTATACGGTTATCATTTAGCTGAGTAGCCATTTTTGTGGAAACGATCGAGGCGTTCCGTCAGGTCGGTTAACTGTTCGGAAATATGACGTCACTTCATGATTGTTGACGACTTCACTAGGTTTGTCTAAGTGATGAACAACGATTTTTTTCATTTCACTTCGGTAACACTTTTGCTCTTTGAAAGCGTAATAAATTGGCCGATAGGTATTATTTCTTGACAAATACAAGTTGTTTAACTGGTATGATGAAGATATTTGCATTCGTGCATCGTTGTGAAATATATCAAACAAGGAATATATTTACGTCGCCACTTACAATTGTTAATGCTATGTGGCGGGGATGCTGATTGACATCTACCAGAACAGGTAGCAGGCCTGAGGACGTAGTACCACGGATCATTTAATTCCGTGGTAGTACTAATTACTCTATCTATGCCAGCTGGATGATGACCTGCCGTTAGAATCGGTAGAGTACGGGATCAACTGATTACAATCGTCCTCAGTATCAGCCCCCGATACTACAGGAAATAGCTGACGTGGCAAGTAACATGGGCGTACTTGGTGCTTTTCTCTCCAGTTGTAAATAATACAGTAGAGTAAAGTCTAATCTCAAAATGTTCGTACCACCAAGAAACACCTCGTCCGGGTGTGGTCACATGTTAGACGCGGCAGGATAGTGTTTGTATATAAATACCTTGGTTCTCCTGTTCCCTTGACGACTTGGTTGCTACTACGTCTGTGTTTATCACAAACAGTTGAAAACTTATTTTGCGAGCTTTCGAAAACGTCGGTTTCATAGAATGGACACTTCTTGCTTGACAAAGGAAACTCACACACTGTTTGCTTGACAAAGGAAACGGACGTTTTCGAAAGCTCGCAAAATAAGTTTTCAATTAGTGTACGTATAATAAATGCTGTATGAGTTTGTTTTGAACACGTACCAAACTGATGAATCTCATTCCAAACCCGCAATAATGTTCTTTTGTGGCTTTTAGATAGAAAATATGATACAAGCTTGCATTGCTGGATTACAGGTATAGTAGGTAAGGCGCAACCAGCTGCTGCATTCTATGAAGACAGAAGACGTTCCTGAACCAAAGTCAACAAGTGAACGACGTATCCTAGCTCAGTCTGCAAATGTAGTATCATCGGTCAACAAATGGAGTATATGGTTCAATATATCTCTGACCTAAAAATGGAGTCTCCTGCAGTCAACAAATTTTTCCAAGTGAACAAATTGATAATCCTTGATCTACAATAGAAGTATTCAACTCAACGTATGTACTGGAAGCCAACAAGTATTTCTACTCCACGTTAAATCAACAACAACAAAATGATCCTGGATGCCTTCCCCCCCTCTCCCCGGCTCTGTTTTAGGTCCCTTACTATTTTTAATATTTCGAAAAATAATATAACTTACAATCGAACGGGTTCCGCAAGGCTCGGTATTACAGTGAAGGTGTTATAATTTATTTTAACATTTCGAAAAAATGCTAAAACTGAGAACATAACAGGTTTCGTAAGGCTTAGTAAAGGTCCTTTACCATTTTTTCCTATACAAAATTGCTAAAACTGAGAACATAACAGGTTTCGTAAGGCTTAGTAAAGGTCCTTTACCATTTTTTCCGATACAAAATTGCTAAAACTGAGAACATAACAGGTTTCGTATGGTTTAGTATAAGGTCCTTTACCATTTTTTCCTACACAAAAATTCTATGACTGACTATCTAACGAGCTCCACAAATTGAGTAGTTTTGGATTGTCCTCAAGTCAGCAAATGGCGTCCTCTTAAATTAACAAATGGAGTTTTCCTAGTAAACCATTGGATTGTCCTCAAGTCAGCAAATGGCGTTCTCTTAAATTAACAAATGGAGTTTTCCTAGTAAACCATTGGATTGTCCTCAAGTCAGCAAATGGCGTCCCCTTAAATTAACAAATGGAGTTTTCCTAGTAAACTATTGGATTATTCCCAGTCAAAAACTAGAGTCCCCAACAGACAACAAATGGAGGTTCCTCTGTCAACAAAAATGACTGTCCTAAGCTATAGGTATCAAGGTCAACAAATGGATTCCCCACAGTCAACAAATGGATTCCCCGCAGTCAACAAATGGATTCCCCACAGTCAACAAATGGATTCCCCACAGTCAACAAATGGATTCCCCACAGTCAGCAAATGGATTCCCCACAGTCAACAAATGGATTCCCAACAGTCAGCAAATGGATTCCCCACAGTCAACAAATGGATTTCCCGCAGTCAACAAATGGATTCCCCACAGTCAACAAATGGATTCCCCAGCAGTCAACAAATGGATTCCCCCGCAGTCAACAAATGGATTGCCCCGCAGTCAACAAATGGATTCCCCCGCAGTCAACAAATGGATTGCCCCGCAGTCAACAAATGGATCCCCCGCAGTCAACAAATGGATTCCCCGCAGTCAACAAATAGATTCCCCGCAGTCAACAAATGGAGTCCCCCGCAGTCAACAAATGGATTCCCCGCAGTCAACAAATAGATTCCCCGCAGTCAACAAATAGAGTCCTCCCAGTCAACAAATGGAGTCCCCAACAGTCAACAAATGGAGTCCCTCAGTCAACAAATGGAGTCCCCCACAGTCAACAAATGGAGTCACCCACAGTCAACAAATGGAGTCCCCCACACTCAACAAATGGAGTCCCCGCAGTCAACAAATGGATTCCCCACAGTCAACAAATGGATTTCCCGCAGTCAACAAATGGATTCCCCACAGTCAGCAAATGGATTCCCCACAGTCAACAAATGGATTTCCCGCAGTCAACAAATGGATTCCCCACAGTCAACAAATGGATTTCCCGCAGTCAACAAATGGATTCCCCACAGTCAGCAAATGGATTCCCCACAGTCAACAAATGGATTCCCCCGCAGTCAACAAATGGATTCTTCACAGTCAACAAATGGATTCCCCACAGTCAGCAAATGGATTCCCCACAGTCAACAAATGGATTCCCCAGCAGTCAACAAAAGGATTCCCCCGCAGTCAACAAATGGATTCCCCGCAGTCAACAAATGGAGTCCCCCACAGTCAACAAATGGAGTCCCCCCACACTCAACAAATGGAGTCCCCCCACAGTCAACAAATGGAGTCCCCCACAGTCAACAAATGGATTCCCCCGCAGTCAACGTATGGACTCCCCCCACAGTCAACAAATGGAGTCCCCCACAGTCAACAAATGGAGTCCCCCACAGTCAACAAATGGATTCCACCGCAGTCAACAAATTTATTCCCCTGCAGTCAACAAATGGAGTCTCCCGCAGGCGACAAATGAAGTCCCCCGCAGTCAACAAATGGAGTCCACCGCAGTCAACAAATGGAGTCCCTGGCAGTCAACAAATGGAGTCCCCCAAAGTCAACAAATGGAGTCCTCCGCAGGCAACAGATGGATTCCCCCGCAGTCAACAAATGGTGTCCCCCCAGTCAACAAATGGATTCCCCCACAGTCAACAAATGGAGTCCCCCGCAGTCAACAAATGGAGTCCCCCAAAGTCAACAAATGGAGTCCTCCGCAGGCAACAGATGGATTCCCCCGCAGTCAACAAATGGTGTCCCCCCCAGTCAACAAATGGATTCCCCCACAGTCAACAAATGGAGTCCCCCACAGTCAACAAATGGAGTCCCCCGCAGTCACCAAATGGAGTCCCCTGCCGTCAACAAACGGAGTCCCCCACAGTAAACAAATGGAGTCCCTCAGTCAACAAATTGAGTCCCCCACAGTCAACAAATGGATTCCACCGCAGTCAACAAATGAATTCCCCCGCAGTCAACAAATGGAGTCCCAGCAGTCAACAAATGGAGTCTCCCGCAGTCAACAAATGGAGTCCACCGCAGTCAACAAATGGAGTCCCCCACAGTCAACAAATGGAGTCTCCCGCAGGCAACAAATGGAGTCCCCCGCAGTCAACAAATGGAGTCCCCCACTGTCAACAAATGGAGTCCTCTGCAGACAACAGATGGATTCCCCCGCAGTCAACAAATGGAGTCCCCTGCCGTCAACAAATGGAGTTCCCCACAGCCAATAAATGGAGTCCCCCACAGTCAACAAATGGAGTCCCCTGCAGTTGACAAATGGAGTCCCCCACAGTCAACAAATGGAGTCTCCCGCAGGCAACAAATGGAGTCCCCCGCAGTCAACAAATGGAGTCCACCGCAGTCAACAAATGGAGTCCCCGGCAGTCAACAAATTAATTCCCCCGCAGTCAACAAATGGAGTCCCCTGCCGTCAACAAATGGAGTTCCCCACAGACCACAAATGGAGGCCCCCACAGTCAACAAATGGAGTCCCCCCACAGACAACAAATGGAGTCCCCCACAGTCAACAAATGGCGTCCCCCCACAGTCAACAAATGGAGCCCCCCACAGTCAACAAATGGAGTCCCCCGCAGTCAACAAATGGAGTCCCCCACTGTCAACAAATGGAGTCCCCCACTGTCAACAAATGGAGTCCTCTGCAGACAACAGATGGATTCCCCCGCAGTCAACAAATGGAGTCCCCTGCCGTCAACAAATGGAGTTCCCCACAGCCAATAAATGGAGTCCCCCACAGTCAACAAATGGAGCCCCCCACAGTCAACAAATGGAGTCCCCCACCGTCCACAAAAGGAGGCCCCCCACAGTCAACAAATGGAGTCCCCCCACAGTCAACAAATGGAGTCCCCCCACAGACAACAAATGGAGTCCCCCACAGTCAACAAATAGTCAACAAATGGATTCCACCGCAGTCAACAAATGAATTCCCACGCAGTCAACAAATGTATTCCCAGCAGTCAACAAATGGAGTCTCCCGCAGTCAACAAATGGAGTCCACCGCAGTCAACAAATGGAGTCCCCCGCAGTCAACAAATGGAGTCCCCCACTGTCAACAAATGGAGTCCCCCACTGTCAACAAATGGAGTCCTCTGCAGACAACAGATGGATTCCCCCGCAGTCAACAAATGGTGTCCCCCCCAGCCAACAAATGGAATCCCCCACAGTCAACAAATGGATTCCCCGCAGTCAACAAATGGAGTCTCCCAGTCAACAAATGGATTCCCCATAGTCAACAAATGGATTCCCCAGCAGTCAACAAATGGAGTCCCCCGCAGTCAACAAATGTATTCCCCCGCAGTCAACAAATGTNATGGAGTCCCCTGCAGTCAACAAATGGAGTCTCCCGCAGGCAACAAATGGAGTCCCCCGCAGTCAACAAATGGAGTCCACCGCAGTCAACAAATGAAGTTCCCGGCAGTCAACAAATTAATTCCCACGCAGTCAACAAATGGAGTCCCCTGCAGTCAACAAATGGATTCTCCCGCAAGCAACAAATGGAGTCCCCCGCTGTCAACAAATGGAGTCCCCCGCAGTCAACAAATGGAGTCCCCCACTGTCAACAAATGGAGTCCCCCACTGTCAACAAATGGAGTCCTCTGCAGACAACAGATGGATTCCCCCGCAGTCAACAAATGGTGTCCCTCCCAGGCAACAAATGGAGTCCCCCGCAGTCAACAAATGGAGTCCACCGCAGTCAACAAATGGAGTCCCCGGCAGTCAACAAATTAATTCCCACGTAGTCAACAAATGGAGTCCCCTGCAGTCAACAAATGGAGTCTCCCGCAGGCAACAAATGGAGTCCCCCGCTGTCAACAAATGGAGTCCCCTGCAGTCAACAAATGGAGTCCCCCACAGTCAACAAATGGAGTCCTCTGCAGTCAACAGATGGATTCCCCCGCAGTTAACAAATGGTGTCCCCCCCAGTCGACAAATGGATTCCCCCACAGTCAACAAATGGATTCCCCCGCAGTCAACAAATGGATTCCACCACAGTCAACAAATGGAGTCCCTTATATTCAACAGATGGTTTCCCCCGCAGTCAACCATTGGATTCCCGAGCAGTCAACAAATGGATTCCCCCTCAGTCAACATATGGAGTCCCCCGCAGTCAACAATTGGAGTCCCCCAGTCAACAAATGGAGTCCTCCGCAGGCAAAAAATTGATTCCCCACAGCCAACAAATGGAGTCCCCTGCAGTCAACAAATGGAGTCCCACGCAGTCAACAAATGGAGTCACCCGCAGTCAACAAATGAAATCTTCACACTCAACAAATAGATTACTCCACAGTCAACAAATAGATTCCCCGCAGTCAACAAATAGAGTCCTCCCAGTCAACAAATGGAGTCCCCTGCAGTCAACAAATGGAGTCCCCCACAGTCAACAAATGGAGTCCCCTGCAGTTGACAAATGGAGTCCCCCACAGTCAACAAATGGAGTCCCCTGCAGTTGACAAATGGAGTCCCCCACAGTCAACAAATGGAGTTCCCCACAGTCAACGAATGGAGTCCCCCCACAGTCAACAAATGAAGTCCCCCACAGTCAACAAATGGAGTCCCTCAGTCAACAAATGGAGTCCCCCACAGTCAACAAATGGAGTCCCCTGCAGTTGACAAATGGAGTCCCCCGCAGTCAACAAATAGAGTCCCCCGCAGTCAACAAATGGAGTCCCCTGCAGTTGACAAATGGAGTCCCCCACAGTCAACAAATGGATTCCACCACAGTCAACAAATTAATCCCCCCGCAGTCAACAAATGGAGTCCCCTGCCGTCAACAAATGGAGTTCCCCACAGTCAACAAATGGAGTCCCCCACAGTCAACAAATGGAGTCCCCCACAGTCAACAAATGGATTCCACCACAGTCAACAAATTAATCCCCCCGCAGTCAACAAATGGAGTCCCC